TAAAATCGGGCCGCGGGTTACCGAGTTAGCACCGTTTATCGGGTCACTTTTATGAAAATTTCAAGCATGAGTATTTTTACATCACACTACCGTTCGCGCTCTTTACGAAACTTCTTCGTTCAAATCTATTTCCCTGTTAATGTTCCCATCTTCTTTGAAAAATGAAATGGTCTTTCCTTTTACTCCAGATCAACAATCAAATATATTTTCTTGAATTATGAATAACACGAATGGATTGAAATATTTAATTAAATCATTTCAAAATCAACCTTCATTTCGGTGCAATATTAAAATTAGCTTGAATTCGTCATAACCTCTGAATAGTGTGTGACCCAATAGTGTGTCATAATAGTGTCTAGTATTCACTATTTATGTGATATAAGATTTTTGCGTCACTGCAACAAAGGATATAAAAGTTTTCTATGTGAATATTTACTACAATATGTTTGTTTGTTTGTTTTTGAATTTATATTTAAAGTTAATTTGGCCTAGGGTTAAAAGTTTTAAATCGAAATAACTGCCACGGTAAACTAAACAAACGAAACCACATTTACTACAATATATACATATATATAACATTGGATTTATATGTATAATCAACTCCTATAATTTATGATTAAATCTGTCGCCAACACATTCATTTTGATAAGCATACTATAATATTATAAGTGCAAAAAATATTTGATATCAGGCAAGAGCGGAGAAATTCTTTTTCGAAGATTGAGACATGAGGCCAAAACGATTTGGTAGAAAATTGGTAAATGTTCGCGACAAGAACCCAGATCAATTCACTTTCTATTATAAAACCAGGTTTTTCCAGAGAAACAATGAGTAATATAAGTTCACGATAAAAACCCATTCTGGTAGAACTAACAAGAATATATACATTTTACAAGGAAAAAAAACTCATAAATAATTTTGTAGTTTTTAAACAATTACAGAAATTACGTCCTTATACGTATTCTATTACTTCTCTATAACACTCAAGCGGCTAGTTTGTTTTTGTTAAAGACATGTAGTACTTTATTTTTTCTAGGTTCCACCGATTTGTAAGTGGGAAATGCATTAGTGCGAATAGATGGACACTTATAAATAAGTTATAATTTCGAATAACGGTAAGCTGTGTGGATCTTCATAGCAAAAATCTGGAGTTTCTGTACCTTAATTCAACAATGATCTATTTCATTTTCCTTATAGTTATTTTCATTGAATATTAGTCTCTTTTTAAATGTTTAAAAGCATTTTGAAGAGGGCCTGACATGGCCTGGTGGTTAGGGTGTTCGACTCGCAAATTGCATGTTCGAATTCCGTCATCAAACATGCTCGCCTTTTCAACCGTGGGGGCGTTATAATGTAATCAGTCTTACTATTCGTTGCTAAAAAGTAGCCCAAGAGTTGGCGGTAGGTGGTGTTAACTAGCTTCCTTCGCCTTAGTTTATCACTGCTAAGTTTGGGTACGGCTATCGTAGATAGCTCTCGAGTAGTTTTGTGCAAAACTTAAAAATGATTATAATTTTTAAATACATTTTTGAATTAGTTTTACACTAAAAGACATATTCGGCCATTATTTGAACAATATCTTACGAGGTTCGACTTGTTTAAGTTAGATCTCAATCTATATACTAAGCTATCAATGCAAAATAAATATTTTAACACCGAAAGTTTTTAAAATATATTCAAATCTCTGATATATTGGTGAAATAAGCGAAAATACATTTAGCAGTCAAAGTTTCTGACTAGTTGATGATTTAATGCGTTCTACTCGTCATAGGTTTTATTTTTTTTTGATGTGTGGATTTATAATATTAAGCATTTATAGGGTCCTTTTTTTAATACAGCTGTTTGTCTACAGACTTGCACTGTTAGAAACCGGGTTTCAATACTCGTGGTGGGCAAAGCACAGATAGCCCATTGTGTAGCTTTGTGTTTAACTACAAACAAACTTTTTAAATAGTTTTAGTTTTGACTTATATAGTGAGCTTACTTTTGATCACAAGTTCATCATAACAATAAGATATAATGTTTTTAATGAAATTAATTTCTGTAAAAATAATCCGAGTTTACCCGTTTAAGTAGATTATTGTTCCTAAGGGAGCTGTAAAAACGAAAGGTTTAGTAAATTGAAGCGTTTTTGTATTGAGTCAGTACTGTAGCCCTAGAGTAATAGTAGTCCAATTAAATCCAATACTCTCAAGTACTCTAGACAAATTAATTGATACATATCGTACTGAATTGCATGATTGTTTCAAATTGTTCGCCTTCTGAATTAAAATAATGTGTCTTAAAAAAATACTTAAAATATCATAATAACCAGGATTTATTTCCAAACTTTGAACGTGAAGTACAATGGATCGTATTCCTTTCATTACTTGTACACTTGATGGTGATTGACCAATAACTAGTGGATCTGTGATATTCTTGAAAGGGAATTGACCAATAACTAGTGGATATGTGATATTCTTGAAAGGTGATTGACCAGTAGCTAGTGGATCTGTGATATTTTTGAAAGGTGACTGACCAATAACTAGTGGATCTGTGATATTCTTTTTGAAACCATCTGTTTTGATTAAACTTCTATACAGTGAAAAATATTAAAAACAGACAAAATAAAGTGTTGTGCTGCTTTAAAAGTAAATATAATTTAATGGAAATTGGCAACATAAAAACTAAACAATTAATGAACTGCAGAACGTCTCGGAAAAAAGACTTTCCTTAATTCGTCAGATACTATCCACACTTTGTGTGTGTGTTGCTAAACTTAGATTATAAATGAAAATTAGTTCGACGTTGTTATTTTACTGACCAATTGGACTATTCCAACTGAAAATATATTTATTTTTAATGATGTAAGTTAAGTAAATTAAAATATAAATCAAGCTAATATACTTAATGTTGGTACAAAAAATGTTCTAATCAATGAAGTAATCCTGAGCTCATGTTTTCTAACATGTGAGCCAAATAGTGTTGCGTTAACTCATTCTGTAGTAACCAAATTAAAACATTTTCTCTACGTCTTCGTCTGAAGGTCAGATGAGGGCATAAATAAAAGTTATATATATAGCACAATTTTTTAAATTATTGATATTCATTTTTCTACAAGTTGTAAATTAAGAAATTCGAAATAATATTTCAATTTGTTTCACTTTTAAAACGTTATTCTTAACTGACTTTGTTTTTATTTCAGATGCTTTTGCTTTATCTCTTTCAACTCATGATCGACCAATCAGTTTGCAGTCACGATTTTATTTTAACCATGTGAGGATTGTATCACGTGAGAATTGGCGGGAGTTTTCATATACTAATCTGGATCCATAAATAAAAAGACACACCAGTAGACTGCATTCAGTAAAATAAACGATAAGGGAAATGCCACACGTGATATTTTGTCAATCAGGTTTGCTTTTTGTTTTCTTCTTTGTGCAGATGAAGCAAGGGTTTTGAGCCTATGCTCTTTAGGCACTTGTCCATCTTCCTACAGAAAGGAAAAAAGGAGAATAAAACAATTTGAGTTTCATAAATAAGAATAAATCTTAATTCTTTTTTTTCAAACTTTTCGTTAGTTTTTCTGATTCGAAAACAAAAGATATTATTAACTGGTTTAGTTGAAGCAATAACTACTTTCTTTCTATTTGGTTCCAGTAGAATGTCCAAAGAACCGTATGCTCGTGCTAAATCTAAAGACAACATTTACTTACTAGTGATATCGTTTTAAAACATCAGTATTTTTATCTGATTATTTTTATATGCCCTCTATGTATATATATTTGTATTAATCCATATGAAGACTAAGCTAGGAATCAACTGTTTTGACAATACTGTTTGTCATGCCAATTGAGTTTTCAATTATTTTTTTGTACAACTAAAGCTTGAAGCAATAACAACATCTCGAAATCTAAAACCCAATTGTTTTTAAATTTAAAAACAAGGAAGGATGACTTTACTTACTGCTCCTCCCACTGGTAAAACCACACTTTTCTGTCCCTTTTTACTTGTTTGGTCATCATATTCTCCTAGTAAAATACTCACTAGCGCATATTCCATCAAAGATGCAAATACAAATACAGTGCATGAAGACATGAATATGTCTATGGCTTTGATGTAAGAAACAGGTGGAAGTGACTTCTGCGACTGTGCATGCTGGGTAGACAAAGTCAAAAGGCTGGTAACGCAGAGAGTCACACGTGCAGGAACAGCCTCTGGTCTGATCCAAAAAGAGATCCAAGACATGATGACGATCAAGCACGTGGGGATATACGTGTGGAACATGTAATAACCCAGGCGTCGTTTCAATTTGAAAATGACTTGAATGCAAGTGAAGTTTCCTATTTAATTATATAAAAAAGTAAGATGAAAATATTTTTATAGGCATCTGATGATAAATAAACTCTAAGAGATTATTTTATTATTCAATGATACATCCCACTTCAAAGGAGGCTTACGTGTAGACAGAACGTACAAAAGGTAATCTTATATCTCGCAGTCAAATTTTAAGCATTTTAACCACTAATTATCATAGGATTTTTTTAGCTGTTAATATTCAGTTATTAATATTTATTCATATTTTCTCAAGATAGATCCGTAAGCATTTTAATAAAGAACTGGATTTATGATGAGGTTTCTACCTTTGTGGCTATAAACCATGAGTTGACAAACACTGAAACGATCTGAAACTGGCATTCAAATTTAAATTTTCTATCTAATTTCATTTTATTTTTACACTTTTCCTATTATAATTGCACGGTATTTGAGCTGATGTTTGCACATTACAAATTAGGAATTTAAATCTCATTCTATCGAATTCCAATTTGAGGTTTATATTTAATTTGACATTTCATCCACAGAAACAAATAACAAAAATAATTTGAATACCTCTATATTATTGTATGGACTTGTAGATTATTATACGCGTTATGTTTTTTTAGCCTGGAAATTGTTCTATTCAGAATTAAAAACAAAGCAGCTTGATAGTTTAAGTTTGCTCATTTATAATATTTTAGAGAATTCTCATTTCTAATTGCCACGTTTATCAAACCGTGAATTATTTGTGCACAAAAACTCCTTTAATCCACCTAAGGTGATAAAAAAACAAAAACATCTTAATGTATTTTTGCTCTCCTAGAAATTAATGTTTAGTTCTTTAAAGCTCTGTTAACTATTTCTTTATCAAAATGCATTTGGATGCTGTTAACCCCTTTGTAATGGAGAAAACAAATATTACTGAAGTATCCATATCTCTTAGTTAAAATATTATTAAAAATATTATCTATGAACAGTAATTATAGGCTAAACCGAAACAAATGCTATGGATATTTGTTAGCAGTGTTATTACATGTTTTACATCTGAGTACAAAGACCAATAAAGTACTAACTGGAAAAACGTAATTCGAATCTTTAAATAATAATAGAGTCACAAAATTTATTTCGGCTTAATCCGCGATTTTAGACAAACGGTACTACCCCCCGAAATCTGTCAGATTAGGATTGAGTCTAATAACCATATAGTCCTTTAATATATTTTTATCGCCAGAGAGAAATAGCAAAATATTGCATAAAGTAACGTTAACACTATAAACAGTGATGTACCTGTAGAATAAACTTGGGTACAGTCCTCTAGTCGCTTGTCAATTAGAATATGTTGCGGTAATTCAATTAAATCTTCAACGACTAGTGGAGTTTCTGGTTCCCAATCAAACACTAGGTCATCGGTAGTGTATGATACTAGTCGAAATATAAATAAAGATAAGTACATAACAAAATGACTTTAACATAACACAAAGCTGGTTAGTTTAGTAATATGTCTATAGAAACATTGGAGCCTGTTTTTGTAGCGTATAACAACAATGAAGGCATCCATCGTAGAGATACTTATCTATAGATAGAAACATCGAAGCCACCAAGTATGATGATATACATGAATAAAAACATTGGAACTGCCTAGTATTAATCTATAGAAATATTCAAGTTGGTGAAAAAAGGGTGTAAATGGTAAATAATTCGGGAATATATCACTTATATCTTGTGAAAATGAACCGCACGAAAGCCCGGACATCTGTTGATATTTTGAACAATAATTGGCTGTCATTCAATCAATCAGAATGTTTTACACACAGTATAAGAGTACAGAAAGTCATATTATGCCCAGTAATAGTAGCGAAAATACAATCATGGTTTCCATGAGAAAGAATATACCACGTGAAAAACTATAGCAAGACTCCAATGTTCTATAACAGTTAGGCATAAATCAATGCTCTGAAGATGGTACGTGAAACTGGTGCTGTTAATAATAGATATGATAGAGGTGGAAAACTGAAACGCTCCAAAAGTGATGTTAAGTATATCAAGATATGTTCTTTACGAGATTGATAACTGTCAAGTAAAAATCTTGCCAATGACCTTGCTTTAAATACAACTGTGAATGTTAACTTGACAATAATAGGATACATGCTAGC